CCCTGTTGAGATGGGAGAGAAACCGATCGCCGTTTTGCGTGTCTTCGTATATAACGGCGATTTCGGGCCATTCGAATCCGCGGATAATGGCGGCAAGGGCTTGGGCTTGAACGGCGTCGTCTGGTGTTGTACGGAAAAAGTAATTGTTGTTGGGTAAAGTGGAGGTGAAGGATATTGTGGGGACACGGATTTTTTGGGCGAGCTCTGCAAAGAATGTTTCTTGTGTTGATTCTTGTGGCCCTATAATCCCGTCTACTTGTTCCTTCTTCAGTAGCTCCACAGCTAAACCAAAAACAAATAAAAAAAATAGGCAAACAAAAGGTTTGATAGTTTTCACACAGGCATTTTCACAAACACAAAGTAGGCGTTCAAGAAATAACCCATTGAACTGATTTTTTCACAAAATTTACAATTTACGGACATGTATGAGGAAAATGCTACCATTCCGTTACGGTACCATTCCGTCGGGTGTTTTAACTGTTGGATCATCGATCTTATCTAACTACACGTAGATCTAACGATTAAAACAACTGTCGGGATGGTACCGTAACGGGACCGTAGCACTCCCATGTATGAGAACTAATCGGTAATCAGTACTAATTAATTGTAAATTAATTGAATATGTATGTGTTTGAAAAAAATAATTACCGACATCAAATGTTATTGGAAGCGTGAATATTGACAAATTTAAGTATATCTCAGTCTGTCTTTTGACTTTATACACCTTTGAACCGCGTTTTTTTGTATTTTTTTACAAAAAGTCATACTACCTATATATTCCAAAAACAAAAAAAAAAAAATCAAAATAAATTTGAACATCAAAATACCTGCAAAATTAGCATCAACCACACTATCCACAGTCTTAACGTGCAGCTTGAGCCTCGTCCTATAGTCCGAACGCGACTCGTAAAAATCCGAGACGGCTATTTTCATGCACGAAGCCGCCATGGAACCCAAGGACGAGCCCAAGTCGAGAACGACGCCAACTGGAACCACCAAAGACGGCGGCTCTTGACCAGAAGTTCCATTAACGCTANAGTCCCATTAACGCTAGCCGACGAACAAGAAGAAATATCGACGGAAAAGAAGATGAGAGCAAAAAGTGCAAGAAAGTGGGAGCAAAGGGCCATTTTGTAAGAATTTGATGTGATGCTGGCATAAAAGGTTGTTGTTTGGTCCGTTGGCTTAAGATTTTCTTATAAATAAAATAGTTGTGGTTTGCTTGTTAACATGTAAGAATATATATGTGTTAACGTGTTAGAAAAATTCAACCGGTCGAGAAGATCCGTTTGGTTACTTGGCTACATATGAAGAGATTTTGGACCAGAAAAAATGTTTATTTTGGGAGATTAATTTGAATCTTAGTATACAAGTCAGGCCTGGTTTTAAATATGTATGTATATGATCCTAAGGGGTGACTAATTCAATTTTCATATATAGAGAGATTTGACGATGACATTTTAATTTAAGTTTGTGAAATTTCGTGGAAAATGTTTGGGGACCGCCTAAAATAGCTAGTACAATCGAAGAACGTTTGGATGAGATGATTTGGGTCTCTTCCAGCTTAATTAGTGGTCTCGTGTTCGAGCCCTGGGAATGCAGCAGTGTTAAAACTCTTGAGGGAGAGCTTTGCCGCCCTTGTGGTCCTACCCGGCTCGATTCCG